TTCAGCTATATCCCCACCCAAATCTCATCTTGTATTGTAGCTCCCATAATTCCCATGTGTGGTGAGGGGGACCCAGTGGGAGTTAATTGAATTATGGGGGCAGTTACCTCCAAGCTGCTATTCTCGTGATAGTGAGTTCTCACAAGATCTGATGGTTTTATAAGGGGCTTTTCCCCCACTTCACTCTGCACTTCTCCTTGCTGCTGCCATGTGAAGAAGGTAGCGTTTGCTTCCCCTTCCGCCATGATTATAAGTTTCCTGAGGCCTCCCCAGCCATGTGGAACTGTGAGTCATTTGAACTTCTTTCTTTTATAAATTACCGAGTCTCTAGTATGTTCTTATAGCAGCATGAGGACAGAGTAATACAGAGGACCTGCTTTGATACTGCATAGTCCTGTGAGCAAGTTCTGAATTTATCATCTCACACCTCCTGCCCACGTACAAGTTACTTACTCTGTCCTAATCTGTCTCCTTATCTGTAAAATGGAAAGAATAATATTGGCTTCATAGAATTGCTGTGAGGATGTAATAAGATTTTGGATACTAAGCACTTAGCTTATAGTACTTACTCAATAAACACTGACTATTTATTACTACTGTGTGCTGTATCACAGGGAAGTTGTGGTGGTCAGATGAGATCATTGGCATTCAGATATTTAGAAAAGTTAAACACTTAAGAACTTTCTTCCAAAGGACTTTGTTGCTGAGTTTTCAGGCCCATTCCATGAATGTAACTAACTCTCATATTAGTGCACTTCTGCAAAAATGATGAGGTCTTTTGTTATTGTTTTTATTGAGGAATAACATATATAGTAATGTACATAAATATGAGTGTGCACAGCTCGATAGGTTTTTAATATGTGAATGACATGTTACTACCAACCAGATCAAGATATAGAACATGCTCAGCACCCCGGAAGTTTCCCTTATACCCTCTATCAGGTAATATTTATTCCCCAAAGGTAACCCTTACTCTTCCTTCTGTCACCTAAACAAATCTTTCCTTGAACAATATTTTTATTATTATCTCTAGAATTAATTGTAATATGGAAAATACCAGTTTACAAGCCTCATTCTCTGAATATGATCACTTTAAAATTAGGAGATATGTACTTCATTGCTTAGACCCAACCCAAAAGCTCCATCTGACTTCCTGGCTTTGGACAGTGCTGACATGTCCTCAGGGCATGCCCTGCACTGGGCTATTCACTTGGAAGGAGACAAAAGCCTAGGAAGCCTAGTTTCACCCTCAGAGAGCTAGTCTAACTAGAGAAAGAAGCCTTAAAATGGAACACCATCCCTAACAGCAAATGAATCCATAAAAAGCATGTCTCAGGGAGCAATCTCATGTTTTCTTGTTTTCGACCCTCCTGAAGACACTGTTTGGTATTGGTATTTCCCAAGAGGATGCCCAGATTAACCACCTTCCACACAGTTGGGTCCTTTGCTTTGGGGTCACTAGGACGGGGAAAGCTTGCTGCCTTGCCATCTGCTATTGTGTCACAGGTGTCTGTGAGGTCTCTCAGGTAGGACATGGTTTCCTCTGGACACATTAATGAGGACTTCCACAATTCCTAGTGAAAAGAGGGCAAAAGGTGGCCAATCCCTATGTGCTTGTTCCAAGATGTATTTTATCAGGGCATGCTACCCAAGTTCTTCCTGCAGGTCACTTGTCTGTAAGACAGTGCACACACTGGGAGCAGTTAGCAAGCACGCAGTCATCACCATATGCACCATGAAAACACTTATGTGCAGTATTGGTAGTTGTGGAGCTTGCATTTCTTTAAAAGACAGAATGGCATTTAATCACAGTTATTGCCATCCAAGGAGCTGGTGGAACATAAACTGTTCTGTATGATTGCAAGCACATAAGCCTCTTGAGCTTTCTCACAAAGTTTTCTGTGCTTTATGAGAACAAAAGATGAGACATTTTATTCTTCAAAAATGGGGGACTCCAAGGCAAACCACAGATTAATCACGAAGGAGAAGAGGAATAAGCAGTTTCACCGTGCATCTCTGGTCATTTTGCTGAGGATTTTAAAAGAGAAAATGGTGTGCTAACGCAATGCTTCATTTCACATTATTGCATGTCATCCATCATTTTGTATAGTTACCTATTCATAACATTCACCTCTATCTAATTAAGTGAAAAATTTTTGTTGTAAGTAATTAAGTATTTTTTAATAGGCCAGCATTCTCAAAGATCATACTTTGCCTATAAGGGGACTTCAAGGTGTTGTCTGGAGTTTTGGAGTTTAAGGTATATATTATCCTTGTGGGATTATGTAAACTCTCATATTTGTGGGAATATAAATGAGCAAAACTATTTTGAAAAGTTTGATTTTACCAAATAAAGTCTGAAATTGCATATACATAGATCCAGCAATGCAACTTTTACATATACCCTGGAGTGGTGGTTCCAGACTTTAATGTGAACCAGACTTTAATGTGCACCATAATCCCTTAGAAGGTGTGTTCAAACACACATTGCTGAGTGACACCCCAGAGTTCCAGATTTAGCATATCTGGAGTGGGACCATAGACAGTTTGTACCTCTAGCAGGTTCCCAGGTGATACTGATGCTGCTGGTCCCAGAACTACACTTTAAGAACCACTGTCTCAGGGAGACTTGTATACGTACATGCTTGTAAGAAGACATGAGCAAAATTTTTCAAAAACATTGTTCCTAATAACCCCAAGTTAGAAACAACTCAAATGCCATCAACAGTTCAATGAGGAAATGAATTGTGGTATATTCATACCAAAAACCCCTACTATATAGCAATCAAGAGGAATGATCTACAGCTACCTGCCTCAACAGGATGAATCTCATTAAGTGTTGGTGAACAAAATAAACAAGGCAAGAAACAGTATCCATAATGTGATTCCATCTGTTTGCATCCCAAAACAGGAAAAACAAAATCATATTCTTTATAAATGCATGAATAGATGGTAAAACTATGAATAAAATCTGATAAGTCATCATTGCAAAAGTCACACTAGTAATTATCTGGGGCTAGGAAGAGGGAAGAATACAGGTGGTTTCTCAGGTACTAGCAATAGTCTACATCTTAACTTGGCTTAACTTGGCTATTAGATATGTTGGAGTTGGACTTATGGTTATTATTTAGACAGAACATTTATATTTATACACATCTACATAGAATACATCTCATAAGTTTTTAAAAAGTTCTTAAGAATCATTCTATCTTTTAAAAATAATGTCCTCTATCTGGTATGTATTCTGACTCTTTGACAGCTTGTTTGAATTTTAGGATCTTCCCATTTGTTATGAAAAATTAAATCTCAAGCTTTAATAGATGGTTTAATTAATCTGCTGGGTCAACTATTTAAATGAAAGAATTTTTGTTACTGTCAAATACATTTGAGATATGGACTAGCTATGAACAAAGTGTTACAGAGTAAAAGACCTGTAAGGTCTAATTGGAGAACAGTTAGTATGTTTACGATCTGTGTAATAAGTCAGGCAGGCCCTAGTAGATCATCTTTTAGATGTTGTTCATATCTATGAACATATACATAATGGAAGAGATTGATGGCTGTTGCCATCAAATACATTACAACTGATTTAGATAATTTCCCCTATAAAAATTACGTGACTACAAGAATGAAGATTCTTATGAACTATTTTCTTTTGGTGACAGGAGAGTCATTTTTGAAATCTTTGAAAAGAAGGAAGGACTGAATGTGCCTGTTGATTATATTGTGATGTTCTTTTGCCTCCAAAAAATGAGAAGTTAGGGACATCTGCAACTCTGTGAGGATACCAGGAACGCTCATTTCTGTTTCATAATGCTTACTCTGTTTTATCCTGATATTATAGTCTTGCTTTTAAATGTATTGGACTGAATCTCTTTCTTTACATTTTTAGTGTGTCCTGTACAAACAATTCTTAATCATTTTTTTCACCATACGTTTCCTTGCGGCATGGTCTGCATGTCCCCTATTTGATGACGGTGTGGATTCTGAATTTGCACCTCCCACATGCTAAATTGACAGCTGCATAACCTCAAAATGCATTCTGGCAATGATGAATGCCAATATTTTATGATGACAGCCCAGGAATTTGATTGCAGCTGCCCAGTGATATGAGTGGTATCTTTATTATTTGGTGAGTTAAACAGACACATTAAGTACATTTGTTGCAAATACTAGACTGTAAAAGAATGTATTTCTTACTTATTATAGTGAACAATGAGAAACAACCAAAATGTTCATCAATGGAGGAATGGTTAACTCAATTACAATATAGCTATAACATGGAACTCCCCACAAAGAAAGTAGCCTGACCTGTGTCAGGCTCCCTGTGAAGAGCTTTATATGTGTTGTTTCATTTCATTCTCACAACAACCTTGTGAAATTCCCATTTTATTCTGGATATTAGCCCTTTGTCAGATGAGTAGATTGCAAAAATGTTCTCCCATTCTGTAGGTTGTCTGTTCCCTCTGATGGTAGTTTCTTTTGCTGTGCAGAAGCGCTACCTGACTTCAAACTATCCTACAAGGCTACAGTAACCAAAACAGCATGGTACTGTTCTATGGACTTCCAAATCCATTTTCTTATCCAGTTGTACTCTCCTAGCTCATGAATGTCAAAGCTATATATGCTGTTAATTCTCTTCTCATGGAGATTTGGTTCAAGATGAACATTAAGTTATATAACCACAGAGAAGAGGAAGAGGCTTAGATAATAGTAAAATTACACCTATCTAAATGTCAAAGCTAAATTACTTCCAAAGGAGGTACGTTTCCTATACATTCCATGACTGAAAGGAAATTCAAGAATATATACCAAAATTCTGGTAATATGTGCTATCCAAGTCAGGATTTTCATGTATTCTCAGAGCTGTTACTTGTTTAAAATGTCAAATTATCAGTGAAGCAAGAGAAAAGCCATACTTTTGCTCAAATGTAATTATTGATACTGTAAAATATCACTTCTATGTTTATCTTTATAACTTCTCCTTTTAATATTTATAGATGGACAAAAGAGAAAGAAATCTTTAAGAAAGAAACTGGATTCACTAGGAAAGGAGAAAAACAAAGACAAAGGTAAAAGATAAAGTAACTAATGTAAATGCATCTTCCATGGAGCATAATGGTTAAATTTGGTGGGGTTATTGAATTGCGTAGGTATACATGGTTCAACTCTGTTATGAAAACTGGATTTCTACAATGAAATGTCATTAAGGGCTGTTTTGGTCTACTCTTCTGTGTTTGAGCAACCCTGTACTGAACTGATGAATTCAGCTGGTTTGAGGAGAGTGTGACCTCAGCCAAGTTTATGGTTCCAATTATTATTTTGACCAATCAGCTATACATAAAGAGGATCTGGGTTGAGAAGCCATGGACAGCATCTCTAACGCTAACCAGCTGTCTGGCAAATCCAGACAGGCAGGGTTAGTTGAATGAGAGTTTGAATACACCTACCATGATTACTGGAAAGAAACAGTCTCATCCTCATGGGTTACTGAAGATAGGCCATTCTCAGCATTTTTTTTTCCGCCCAGTTGAAAAATATTTATTTGTAACCAATGTGAATGCTTATGTTTTACTTTGTTACATTGCCTCAGCCAAGACAGGTTAAAGCAAATGCCCTTAATATTTTGGGGGTCACAGAGCCCTTTAAGAAGCATTGACAATGATGATGCTTTATCAAAGGCCTGAAACTCATCCAATGCCCACCCTGCCACCCCCTAAATTTAAAATTCCCAGATTAGATATTCACTTAAGTATTTTCCTTTTTAAAAATCCAGGAACCTTAGGGAATTGTCAGTGACTATTAGTCTTTTTTTGTTTTCTTTTTTTTTTTTTTCTTGAGGTGGAGTCTTGCTTTGTCACCCAGGCTGGAGTACAGTAGCACGATCTCGGCTCACTGCAACCTCCACCTCCTGGGTTCACACCATTCTCCTGCCTCAGCCTCCTAAGTAGCTGGGACTACAGGCGCCTGCCACCACACCTGGCTGGTTTTTTTTGGGGGGGTTGTTTTTTTGTTTGTTTTTGTATTTTTACTAAAGACAGGGTTTCACCATGTTAGCCAGAATAGTCTCGAGCTCCTGACCTCGTGATCTGCCCACCTCGGCCTCCCAAAGTGCTGGGATTACAGGCTTGAGCCACCGCGCCCGGCCTAGTATTTTTTTTAAACTCTTGTTTTAGGTTCAGGGGTACATGTGTATGTTTGTTAAATAGGTAAATTTTGTGTTGCAAGGGTTTGTTGTACAGATTATTTCATCACCCAGCTAATCACCATTGTACCCAACAGGTGGTTTTTCAATTCTCACTTTCCTCCCACCCTCCACCCTCAAGTAGGCCCCAGTGTGTCTTGTTCCCTTCTTTGTGTCCATATCAACATGTTTAGGTCCCACTTGTAAGTGCATTCTCAGCATTTTTTTTTGTACAACAAAATTTGTTTTTTAAAATATATATAAATGAAATATAATGGTTGAACATGAGAGGGCGATTCTTTTTTGTTATACTTTAAGTTCTAGGGTACATGTGCATAACGTGCAGGTTACATATGTATACATGTGCCATGTTGGTGTGCTGCACCCATTAACTCATCGTTTACATTAGGTGTATCTCCTAATGCTATCCCTCCCCCCTGCCCCCTCCCCACAATAGGACCTGGTGTGTGATGTTCCCCTTCCTGTGTCCAAGTGATCTCATTGTTCAATTCCCACCTATGAGTGAGAACATGCGGTATTTGGTTTTCTGTTCTTGTGATAGTTTGCTGAGAAAGATGGTTTCCAGCTGCATCCATGTCCCTACAAAGGACATGAACTCATCCTTTTTTATGGCTGCATAGAATTCCATGGTGTATATGTGCCACATTTTCTTAATCCAGTCTGTCACTGATGGACATTTGGGTTGATTCCAAGTCTTTGCTATTGTGAATAGTGCCACAATAAACATACGTGTGAATGTGTCTTTATAGCAGCATGCCTTATAATCCTTTGGGTATATCCCCAGTAATGGGATGGCTGGGTCAAATGGTATTTCTAGTTCTAGATCCTTGAGGAATCGCCACACTGTTTTCCACAGTGGTTGAACTAGTTTACAGTCCCACCAACAGTGTAAAACTGTTCCTATTTCTCCACATCCTCTCCAGCACCTGTTGTTTCCTGATTTTTTAATGATTGCCATTCTAACTGGTGTGAGATGGTATCTCATTGTGGTTTTGATTTGCATTTCTCTGATGGCGAGTGATGATGAGCATTTTTTCATGTGTCTGTTGACTGTATGAATGTCTTCTTTTGAGAAGTGTCTGTTCATATTCTTTACCCACTTTTTGATGGGGTTGTTTTTTTCTTGTAAATTTGATTGAGTTCTTTATAGGTTCTGGATATTAGCCCTTTGTCAGATGAGTAGATTGCAAAAATGTTCTCCCATTCTGTAGGTTGTCTGTTCCCTCTGATGGTAGTTTCTTTTGCTGTGCAGAAGCGCTACCTGACTTCAAACTATCCTACAAGGCTACAGTAACCAAAACAGCATGGTACTGGTACCAAAACAGAGATATAGACCAATGGAACAGAACAGAGCCCTCAGAAAGAGTACCACACATCTACAGCCATCTGATCTTTGACAAACCTGACAAAAACAAGAAATGGGGAAAGATTCCCTATTTAATAAATGGTGCTGGGAAAATTGGCTAGCCATAAGTAGAAAGCTGAAACTGGATCCTTTCCTTACTCCCTATACGAAAATTAATTCAAGATGGATTAGAGACTTAAATGTTAGACCTAAAACCATAAAAACCCTAGAAGAAAACCTAGGTAATACTATTCAGGACATAGGCATGGGCAAGGACTTCATGTCTAAAACACCAAAAGCAGCGGCAACAAAAGCCAAAATTGACAAATGCATTCTCAGCATTTTTATGTTAGATCACAGTATACTACTCATCTTTTGCTTTGTATGTTTTGGGAATTGTTTACTCTCATCATACTGTTTTGTGTCCCCTTGTGTGTCTATTTAGGGAACTAAAACTTTAGCCACTCTCTCAGAGGTATTTATGGTCATTTAAAACTGATATTCTTTGAGCCCACATAATGGACACTTGAGCCCCATTGATGCAGTCCAATTTTTTGTGCCTTTTTTTTTTTTTCAAGACAGAGTCTTGCTCTGTCACCCAGGCTGGAGTGCATTGGCACAATCTCGGCTCACTGCAACCTCCACCTCCTGGGTTCAAGCAATTCTCCTGCCTCAGCCTCCCAAGTAGTTGGGATTACAGGCACGCACCACCATGCCCGGCTAATTCACCGTGCTGGCCAGGCTGGTCTTGAACTCTTGACCTCATGATCCGCCTGCCTCAGCCTCCCAAAGTGCTGGGATTATAGGCGTGAGCCACCGCACTTTTTGCTGCTTATTTTTATGGTCTGTTATGAAGTGGTTGCTAAATGGTACCATGTATGCATTTATTTTCATTTTATGTGACACAGTCAATGAGTCTTGAATGAGAACAGCCATACACATCTCATCTTGGAGTCCTTTTATATAATGATATAATTTCTGCCTTAAAAGTAATGGAAGGCGATGACACCAAGGGTATTAAAAAGTGCATTGGGATCAGTATTGGACAAGAGCTATTCCATACCATTGATCTCAGTCTCTACACCTATATCTTGAACAGTCATGACATTTGGTTCTTTAGACTAAAAAAAGTGAAGAATTCTAAAGAATGGAAAACCATTATTTTACTTCCTTTGGAGTGAGGTTTCTCAACCTTGCTACTATTGTCATTTTAGACTGGATAATTATCTGGAGTAGGGGCTATCCTGTGGATTGTGAGATGTTTAGCAGCATCCCTGGCCTCTACTCATTAGATGCCAGTAACACCACCCCCAACCCAAATATCTTCAGACATTTCAAATGTTTACCTCAAATTGGAAAAAAGAAGGTGAAAGTGTCAGTGATCCCCACCCCTGACTACACAATAGAATCACTTGTGGACCTTTAAAAAGTCCAAGACCCCCACCCCAGGGAGTCTGAGTTGATTGTTCTGCAGGGATACCTCAGGCATGGGTGTTTTTAAGAGCATCTAATGTGCAACTTCTAGGATGAGAACTCTGATCCATATTAACTAGGATACTCACCAGGGCACGTTCTGTCACAGCAGATTCTACTGCTGGAATAATGAAGGCTAAGGGTGGTCCAGCTACCTATTATAGTCTGATAAATTGTATTATATTTAATTGTTGATATGTTTGTGCCCTTATTTTTGTAATGACCTAAATATTAATAGCCAGCATTGCTCTTTTAAACTAGAGTTTTTGCTCATTCTGTTCCTGCAGTAGAGCACTTTTACGTCTCCAGATTAGAGCAATTTTCCATGTGTATAGAGCATATTAAAGGGATCACTGAGGTTGGTATTAGTAATGTATTCTCTTTTAAACTTGGTTTATTCTAGGGTGATGATATTGATATTGGGATTTAAATACATCTAATCTGGACTTTAGGTGATTTTTCAGAAAGTATCCATTTGGCTAGACTAAGCAGAGTGAGCATATTTGCAGGAGGTTCCTCAAAAGAATGATGAGATGTTCCCTCAACAGAAGGAGATGTATGTTTGCTTACATATATTATATATTCAAAGCAGCAGGAAGCAAGAATTTGAATTAAAATGGAAGGAAGGGCCAGGGAAGTAATCGAACAATACATACTGGGCCATTATATATTTTTTAAACTAAATCATATTTACATAGGCTTAGTGAAAACTGAAATGTTCTATACTGCCTCAAAGGTAGCTAAGTGGGAAGAGGAAGGCAGGTACTGGTGGTTCCAAAGAAAAGACGTATCACCCACCCAACTAAGGGGGAAATATCAGGCTTCGTGCCAAAAAAAAAAAAAAAAATTAAGTAGCTTTAATGTTTAAAAACAAAGTAACCTAGGCCTAAGTGAAGGTTAATTACATGGCATCTTTTCAGAACTTAAAGCCCTGTCCATGTCAACACTGGGAGTCACTGCATGGATGTCCTGGGAACCAGGGTGTGAGGATGAGGTGGGGGGGGGGGGTGCCAATCTGGCACAGATGTAATCTATTCACATAATTTCCTTCCAGTTGGATATTAGCATTTGGGTTTGTAACAGCTGCACATGTGAAAAATGGTCATTTGAAACCAAGAGTAAAAGAAGGAAAACAGGAAACTAAATGATCTCCTGAGTTAGGTAATCTAAAAATAAACAGAAGCAGCCTTTTAGAATCGAATTGCTCTCCCAATAGTGATTCATAAATGGTTGATATGCTACCATATTAATTGATTTCATCAGAATGAATCATGTCCTGTATGTTATTTAATTGCCTTGATATATAGCGGATCGTGTGACACTCCTATGTTCCCCATGCCACTTAAGCAGTGCCCATGTGACTTTTGATTTACATATGGAAACTAATTCAAGATTGACACTAATCAGAAAACATATTTTCATACAGAATAATTCCAAGTCCTTAATTTCTCTTAGTTATATTTCTTGACAACCAAAAGAGTTTTGAAAATTTTCAGAACTTCTGAAAATTTCTTTCTGTGTCAAAAGTAATTTTAAAATTAAGTAATTTTAAAAATAGCTACTTTGTTTTATTAATGGGCTTCCTAAACTGAGCACATGGGGAATAGGTTTTACTACGATGTAACTCTGGGAGATTGTACCCCCAACAACCCTTGCCAGGATATTTTCGGATTATGCCATATATGTATCCACATACATATGTGTATCTGGAAAGAGTTCAGTTCTGGCACCGTTCTTTATGGTGAAATCATATTGTATCATGTTTTATTTTCCTCACTGTCTAGGTATGTCACTGTATGTGAGCTGTGAAGTAACACTAGGTACAAATAGCTCATACAACTTTTAATTTTGCTCCATATTAAATAGCAGAACAGTCAAGTTATCAGATATCACTATGCAGAAATTATCAAAGAACATATATTGAATGTTGTCATTGAGTGGTAGTACTTCTAGGATAAGAAGAGAGGAAAGAACCAGGGAGTGTGTGGTTTCTGAGAAGGTTAGGAAGGGGCCAGCTCACACAGTACTGGGCCACAGCATGACTTTTGATTTGAAAGTTCAGGAGAAAGATAATGGTACCTTAGACTAGGGTGGGAGTGATGGTGGAAGTGGAGAGAAGTGAATGGAAAAAAGAGATAATGTGAAAGTGACATGATAAAGATTTGATGATGGAGTGAAAATGGGATGTAAGAAGGAATGAAGTATCAAGGATGACTCTCAGATTTCTGGTTCTCCCACATGAAGAACAGGCAAACTTTTGGAAATCTGAGTAAGACCTTGTAAGGGAAGACGAAGAGTAAGAAATGCCTTTGGGACATCCAGATAAGAAGGTGGAAGAAGTGGTTAGTGCTCAAAGAAGGGGTCTGAGCTAGAGGTAGCAATAAGGTGTGAAATGTGTATGGATGGAAGTTTAAGTTATGGGTATCATGCTGTTAATTACATAGAGAGACAAGAGTGATGAGGAGGGTTAAGATTGAGCTCTGAGGACCTTCCACATTGAAAACCCAGGTAGAAGATGATAAGCCAGAAAAAGGGGCAAGAATGTAGCCAGAGAGGTAGAGAAAAACCCAGTTAGTATATCCAAGATGCAAAGGACAGGGAGCATTTCAGGAAATGGCAATCAGGGTTAAAGGATGACAAAAGGGCAAATGAAACAGAGCTGTCAAAAACACTGAATTTAATGACCCTGAAGACAGCAATGACTTAGAGGGAGCTGCTTTAGAATCTAATGGAGGTATCAGCTAGACAGGATGAAGTGAGGAAAGAGTGGTAGGTGAGAAAGTTATAGGCCAGAAAGTAAAGGGAACACTTTAGAGAATTTTAACTGTGGCAAAAGGAGAGGGGGTAAACCATGGAGAAAAGAAAAGAGTGGGTCGAGGGTTATTTATTTTTTTTAAGAAGTAGCTGCTTGAATATATGTAGTAAAAACATAGTAGAAAAAAAGAGGTTGAAGATACAGGCACAAGAAGATGTAATTTATAGCAGGGGTGGCCCACCAGCTGTCTTTGTAAATAAAGCTTTACTAGAACACAGCCATGCCCATTTATTTACTTACTGTCTGTGGCTGCTTTCCTGCTAGACTGGCAGGTTGAGTAGCTACCACAAAGACTGTGCAGCCTGCCAACAGGGTGGAGGCTGGAGTGAGGCAAATTGAGCACCTAGGCCACAGAATTGAAGGAAATGCTCAGTCTGCATGCTGACTCTGCGCTTGCCCCATGCTGAGTGCGAGCACCCTATCATTTTGCATCCTAGCCATTCTAAGCCCCAGCCATATCCACAAAGCCTAAAATATTTGCTATCTCGCCCTTTACAGAAAATAATTGCTGAACCCTATTTATACTCGAAGAGTGTTGGATAATTTTTTTGAGCTCTTGAGTGCAGTATACCATTATCCATGGTTTAAACTTATCCATAGTTGAATGACAGGTGGGAGAGCATGGGAACCAGGGAGAGGCAGAAAGGCTGGCAGGATGCCAAGTCACACCTACATATCATGCAAAGGAAGGTGGTGTAGGGCACAGGTACAGCAGGTGTGAAGAGTTGGAGCCTTTGCATCTGCTGGGTGCTCTTCTCCTGAAACAAGGCAGAATTATTTGCTGGTGGGGAGGATCTGCACCAGAGGTAAAAGAAGTCTCTAAACTAGTCTGGTTGGTTTTCCTTAGATGGAAAAAATGACTGGGAAAGGGCTCAGTAGTCCCCATCTTATAGTAAATCCCTGCCATGCATATGCCCACCTGAGCAGATGTGTCACTTGCTACATTTATCAATGTTCTTTTCACTCTTATTATGCCCTCTGTTATTTCATGTAGTTGTCAGCCTCACCATCCACGTTTCCAGACTTTTCCAACCTTTTAAAAGTAATATTTGATCATTTCTACAGACAAAATTATATCTATGTGTGTGTGTGTGTGTGTGTGTGTGTGTGTGTGCGCGCGCGTGCGCGCACGTGTGCATCTCCTCAGGGTACATAACAGAAGGTTTTGCTAGTAGTAGACACAGCCTATTATCAATAGTGAGAATTATACCTCACTACACTGTCTAAATTGATCACTCAAAGGAGAAGTACCTAATTATTTTTTATTACCATATATCACCTAGCTTTTTGCTAAAGAATGGCAAGCATCCTCTGAAAATCCCGAAATACTAAAGTTTTGATTTTTTACTTCAAAACAAATTGCATGCTTTTATAGAACCAGAGGTGCAGGCTTTTCAAGTAACATTTCTGCTTTTAATGTAGACTTGGTCATTAGCCCAGTGGTGTTCGAAATGTTGCCATGGATCAAGGAGGAAAACTTTTTAAAGTATCTTTCTACCTAATTTAATGTTAGCTTTTTCTTTCAAAAGAACAACCAACCTTAGAATTATTTTCCCTTGATCATTTTAGTTTCATTCATAGGGCTTCTAAAAACAATGGAGAGGTTAGATTCCAACTTACTGCTGCTAGGAGACCTAATTTGTAGTCTAAAAAGAATAATACATCTGATTACATTATTAGTGCCTTTCAGCATGAATCTAAAATATTGCCAATAAAACTCCTGGCCCTAAGGGTCCAAGGTATGTGTATACAAACAGATTTATGACAGAAATTCAGAAAGGAAATCTATGTATGTCTCCAAATAAAGCCATCAATTTCTGCACTATGCCCCTTTCCCCAAATTCTCCTTACTAAAGGATTTAACAAATTGTTTCCTGGGCCTCCCACGAGATATTTAGTGGCTGAGTCCACTCTGCATGTGGCCAGTAGAATGGCTTGAGTGTAGATCACGAGAGTGACAGCCCCAACCTAGCTGGCTGGAAATAGAATGTGGGGATAAGGAACACAACGAAAACAGAGCAGACTCCTTCCCAAGCAGTTCCCAAGCTGCTCCTCTGCCTGTCAGGTTATTCTTGCTGGGAACCTCAAAGTGTATTCAGTTGACTAAATTTCAGCCTTAGCTTCATGCATCTCTCTATTATAACACCTAATAGTCAGTCTGTTACCATGATTTGCATTTCTGATTATTCACTTCTTCACCCCAACCCATACTCTGAACACCTCAGGAGAAAGGATTGTATCTTTTCATAAGCTTTGTGCTTCCCATTGCCTAGCTTGTTGTGGCACGTAGCGCGCAATCAATAAATGCCTGTTGAATGAATGTATAGACTAGAGACATGGAGAAAAACTAGAGACCTAGATGTCTAAGATGTGTGTTTATAAATACTAGTTTTCTTTATTGAAATGGAAACTTGGGCCATTCTGATTAACACGAATGTCACCTTTTTATTTTGATCGATAAGTCAATTCTTCAGAAAACATTCCTTTGAACATGTCTGTCCTTACTTAGGTCTGAAACATAAATGAGAGTGTTCACTGGTCCAGTCAGTCTCTGAAAGTGAATGTCTGTTTTTTTATTCCAGAATTCATCCCGCAGGCATTTGGAATGCCCTTATCCCAAGTCATTGCGAATGACAGGGCCTATAAACTCAAGCAGGACTTGCAGAGGGATGAGCAGAAAGATGCATCTGACTTTGTGGCTTCCCTCCTCCCATTTGGAAATAAAAGACAAAACAAAGAACTCTCAAGCAGTAACTCATCTCTCAGCTCAACCTCAGAAACACCAAATGAGTCAACGTCCCCAAACACCCCAGAACCAGCTCCTCGGGCTAGGAGGAGGGTAAGGTGGCCAGTATTTGCTCTGACACCAGTGCTAGGAAAACTGAAGATGTACAGTTATTCTTTGACTTTTTGTTCATGTGAAAACTGGATATGTAGTTGGTGTTCAGGTGTCTGTCAACAAACTCCATTAATGAAGAATGTGCACTGGGCATGTGGCACCTTGCATAGCCTCAGACCTTGTCCTGACTCCTCTTGAAGCTGTTGGTGTCCCTCCTTTGTCACATCTGTGCTGCATGCTCTCTTAAACATTCGACAATATCACCATTGATTCTGGTCTCTTGTAATCTGTCAGTCTTGCCATACTTGCCCACTAGACTGTGAGGCTTGAGGGCAAGGCCCGGTGTTTTAGCTATTAATACTTTCTTCATCACCAGTCTGAGAACATGTCTGGCCAAATGAATTGGTGGTGGGTCTTCCTAAACAATGAGCTTTTTCCTTATCAATGGAGCATTTCTTTTTCTCAAACAGAACCATAGAATCCTCTATATATCCTCTTTCAAATACTCTAACAATATGGTACCAGTTGTTAAGTACTATGTTCTAGGTACTGTGCTATTATTTGAATTGTTCAGGCAAACTGGTTGGTGATTGGCTGAGTCAGTTCATAAGCATCTCTAAAGCTTCCAGGTCACTGGAAGATCTTCTCTCCCTTTTAAAAAACAAATCTGCATTTTATTTTTATCTTTTATTTTTTGACTCAGGGTCTTGCTCTGTTGCCCAGACTGGAGTGCAGTGGCATGATCACTGCTCACTGCAGCTTCAATCTCCTGGGCTCAAGCGATCCTTCTGCCTCAGCCTCCCCAGTAGCTGGGACTACAGATGCACACCACCACGCCTAGCTATTATTATTATTTAGTAGAGATGTAGTCTCACTGTGTTGCCCAGACTGGTCTTGAACTTTCGAACTCAAGTGATCCAAAGTGCTGGGTTTACAGGCATGAGCCACCACACCTGACCTTCTCTCCCTTTTTTCACTGTCACGTGGAGACCCAAAATTTTTGCCACCTCCAGCTGTTGAAGACTGCCCTAGTTAAAACTCCAGACACTTCCCACTTAAAACCCACATTTTTCAATCAGCCCCTAACATTCAGGGCTTGTCCGAGGTAGAGAGAGACCTGATCCATTGCTGTTTTTGCAGTATTGACTATGTTTAAAAATGAAGAAATTACAAAATTATGGAATGCCTGAATTTGCATGATGGAATTATTCTTCTAATTCTGTCATTGTGTCTCAGACTGTGTATTGTCATACAACAATAACACTAAAACTCTAAATTTTAGCTTTCTGGGAATGTAGGGCTCAGGCAATTGTTCTCCCAAATGCCCTCTCCTCTGTCCAGGCCTGGCTAGCCAACTGCTTTCTCAGTGCTTCATCAAGTATGGGTGTGGCAAATACAATTGGTTCCCTGCTCCCTTTCCCTGACCCTTTACCATTCCTAGCATGCCAGCTCACCTTCCATCTGTCAACACCTTATTTCTTTGCTGAGGGCTTTCTCTGATGCCAGAGGCACCCAGCCCATCCAAATGGCAGGCTGTAAGTACTTAGGAGATAATATTATCTCTCTGCCCCCACCAGAGGCTGCCCTTAAGAAGTGATTCCTGAGGCTTGGTGTATAAATACCCCAGCTCTCTCACTTGATAGGGATAGCTCTAAGGTGCATGATCTACAGCTGTCTCCTAGAGCTCCCCAGAAAGATTGAACTCCAGTTGCCCACAATGATAATAGACTTGATAATGCTCCCTTCGTCAGCTGCCTTTCCTTCCTTGTCTCATTTCCCCCCTCCCCTATAGGTGTTTCCCAGGACCACCTCTCTACTAAAGCACTTTGTGCTGTTTCTCAGGAAAACTAAGCTCAGGCTGTTTTATGGAATCATTATATTTTAAAAATCTACTTCCTAGAACCATAGTTGAGTTTTTTATTTACAAAACTTCTCTGACTACCTCATTCATTGAGTATGTAATTTTTTTCTTGTTTCAAGAAATGAAGTGGTTGGGCCAAAATACTTTAATTATATGTTTCCCATCACTTGTTCTTCCATTTGGAAAATTTTGTCTATTGTTGAAATTGTAACTGCCATTATTAGCTTGAGGAAACCTTGTAGAGGTTTTCTAACTTTTTCAAAAGGCATATTTTTTCTTTCAATATACAAACAGAACAATTAAAGAAATCAAGCAATATTATTTCAAGTGTGATAAAGAGTCATGAGCAAAAGTATGTATTGGTTAGCATCTGGGGGCAGCTGGTTTTTTTGGCTATCTGTACTTTATGTTCACAGCTCTGTGTCACTTGCAGGGTGCCATGTCAGTGGATTCTATCACGGATCTTGATGACAATCAGTCTCGACTACTAGAAGCTTTACAACTTTCCTTGCCTGCTGAGGCTCAAAGTAAAAAAGAAAAAGCCAGAGATAAGAAACTCAGTCTGAATCCTATTTACAGACAGGTCCCTAGGCTGGTGGACAGCTGCTGTCAGCATCTAGAAAAACATGGTAAGTAGACTTGTCTGTCTAAAGTACTAAGGACTTTCATTTATTCAAGCATCATTCATTGAAGTACCCAATGTCAATTATGTGTTCATCTGATCAAGCTCTGAACTGAAATTTCCTGTGTGAAAGTATACAGATGTGAGTGTTTGCTTAAGAGATTGTGGGGCTAAACAAGATTGGAGGAGGGGGTGAATCAACTTGATGATATTCAGACTGCTTCGCTCCCAGTAGTCCTCAAAAGTGACTTTGGAGGCCAAGCAATTTAGTGAAGGATCAGGTTGGTTGGGCTGGGTTTGTCACTAGAACCTCTTTCAAACAGACCAGAGCCACTTTTATTGTTTATACATAAAAGTAGCCTAGGAGGTTACTCACAAGGGTTCCTTTAAAAAGTAAGAGTTCAACTTAAGTGATGATTCCCCAGGTTTTTTTAATAGAAAATACATCATTTTTGACAACAGGTTTATATATTGCCATTTGCGTTTTTGTGGAAGCTGTCCACTTAAAATTTCTCCAAGTCACCCTTTGCAACTCAATTCCAGTTACTAAGTTGACTTAAGAATGATATACAGTTCTTTAAAAATTTTTCTGAAATTTAGACTTCTGGCTTATTAAACTGCCATTTTCATAAACTAAATTTGTTTGCTGTAGTGTTAGCATGTGTGTTATGTACGTGGGAAAAGTTTAATTACTTTTTTACTATAAAAATAATATGCTCATTGTAATAAAGTAAATGTGAAAGCAAAGAAAATTCTGAGGCTACCATATAGACATAACTACTATTAACATTCTCATCTGTTTCCTTCCAATAAAAATGGAACTTGATTTAAAATTTGTTAAGGATATATCTCAATTTCTTAATTCATTATAAAGGAAATCACAGGATAACATATGGATGACCTAATAAATTTGTTTATACAAAATTTTAAGTGTAGGTTCTTTTATGTTTTTTTACCTTATCTTTCACATGCCTGTGTATTACCTATGTACCTTGAACGTACGTCTCTTTCTCTACACACAAACACACACACACCGTCATGCACCACATAATGACATTTCCCTCAGTGATGGACTGCATAGGCAATGGGGATTGCATAAGGTTATAATACTGTATTTTTACTGTACCTTTTCTATATTTAGATACACAAATACCTAAGATTTTGTTACAGTTGCCTATAGTATTCAGCACAGTCACATGCTATACAGGTTAGTAGTGTAGGAGCAGTAGGCTCTACCATATAGCCTAGGTGTATAGTAGGCTATACCATCTAGGATTGTGTATGTACACTCTATGATGTTTGCACAATAATGAAATTGCCTAATTTATTGCTTCTATCACTTTGGGAGCTTGAAAACAGGATAATCACACTATTTAAAATAAAATACAGAATTATATTTCTTCATCTGCAAAATGAACATAAGTACCCACCTCAAAAGTTGTGCAATGATTCAATTAATTAATGTGCATACAGTACTTAGAATAGTGCCTGGCATATATTATTATAGAGAGAGAAATAGACTCTGAATGAACCGAATGAATCTTCTATGTATGAAATAGAAAACTTTAATAGCAGGTCGCAATAATTTTAATTTTGGCTGCATGTATTTTTTTATTTTCACATGGTTTCTGAATAATTGAAATTTCTACAGCAGCATGATATCACATAAGGACATTTTCTACACAGGTGGGACTATTCTCTTTCTACCAAGAGATAGAAAACAGAACTAAAAGAAATTGAGATGTTTACTTTGTTTCTGGATGTAAAGAAATAATGTTACAAAGATTTAAGGCTGGGCACTGTGGCTCAAGCCTGTAATCCCAACACTTTGGGAGGCCAAGGCAAGAAGATCACTTGAGCCTGGGAGTTTGAGACCAGCCAGGGTAATATAGCAACACCCCAATTCTGTATCTAAAAAATACAATTCTTTCTGATTTAATTATATATTGTACTAGTCATAAATTTTTCAGTGGCAAGAGAAAGGAACCCAGATAAAACTAGATTAAGCAAAGTGACCTCCCCCAAATAACAACAACAATCTTTATATACTGGGAGACTGATCTAGATTTAGGCACAGCTGGATCCAGGATTCAAATGATGTCATGAGTGTCCTCTGCTGGCTTTACTCTCAGACCAGCTCTCTTCATGTGGCTTCAAATGGCTGTTAGCAGCTCCAATATCCCATCACTCTCATAATTGATTGTCCCAAATGAAGATAAAATGAGCCACCAGTGAAAGAATATACACGATGCTCATCAATGGCAATGATTAATGACCGGCATAGAAAAAGGAGAACCATTCAGACATATTTCATGCTCCCAAAGGAAGTACACAATACTTTTTGTGAAGTATTCTTGCCCTATAAAATCACACCGCAATCAGAGTAATCTCTGGCTCTAGCTATCTCTTTACAGAAAATAAAGGGGAGAGAAGAACATACAAATGACACCATGGAGTGTCCAAATCCAAACAATATGAAGATCTACAGTAGGAAATAGCTGAGATTTCTTCACCAAACCAATTATAAGGAAAAGGGAAACAGAGGGAGGAAACACAGATTAAGAGACTAAAAGGCACATCGACTGTATCACAGTGTGTGACCCTTATGTGGATGTTGACTGGAAATGTAATGCATTAAGGAACTATTGTTGACATTTATAGTATATTATAGTGAAATTACTTGTGTTTTTAAGAGACCTAATTTTTTAGAACTGAGTTTCTCAACCTCAGCACTGACACTGTATTTTTCACATCTAGGACATGATCCTAGTAAAAGCAATCAGAAATGTGAACAAAAACATGTGCACAGAGTTGTTTACAATAGGGTCATTTATAATAGCAAAATAAGCATGTATATTTTGGGGACCTGTGCACCATTCAGAGGGGAATATGGAGTAAATTATGGCCCATTCATACAATAGAATATTTTGCATCTTTTTTATATTTCCATAGATTTTGGGGGAACAGGTGGTATTTGGTTACACGAGTAAGTTCTTTAGTGGTGGTTTGTGAGATTTTGGTGCACCCACCACCTGAGCAATATACACTATACCAAACTGGTAGTCTTTTATCCCTTTTAAGTGACATTTCCAAGGAATTGTTACTAGCATGAGTGAAAATTCATGTGACATGATAGTGAGGGAAGGGAGTAACATTCTGTCAATAGATATTATATATATATATATGCAGCGTTATCTCAACTATGTAAAAATACCTACATTCATGTAGAAAAGGCTGGATTTTAAAAAATGAAAGATTAGCTAGGCACGGTGACTCACACCTGTAATCTCAGCAATTTGGGATGTCGAGGCAGGTGGATCACTTCAGCCCAGGAGTTGAGCTTGAGCCTGGGCAACATGGCAAAACCCTGTCTCTCCAAAAAATACAAAAATTAGTCAGGCATGGAGGCATGGAGGCATGTGCTGGTAGTACCAGCTACTCTGGACACCAAGGTGGGAGAATCACTGGAGCCCAGGAGGTCAAGGCTGCAGTGAGCCATAATCACGCCACTGTATTCCAGCCTGGACAACAAAGTGAGACCCTCTCTCAAAAAAAAAAGAAGGAAGGAAGGAAGGAAGGAAGGAAGGAAGGAAGGAAGGAAGGAAGGAAGGAAGGAAGGGAGGGAGGGAGGGAGGGAGGGAGGAGAAAAAGAAAAGTAAGAGTGATTATTTCTACATCAGGTATTTCTAAAAGTATATTATTTTTACATTTTTCTGCATTTTCCAGATTTTCTTTAAGAAGCACACTTTAATTATGATCAGACAAACGAGAAATATCTTTTAGAAATTGGTAAAGAGCTAGAATCCCTATAAAATGTGTGTTTAGGTAATAATTCTGAATAATGAAAAAAAAGCTCATTTTCTCTGATAAGGAGAAGATTAGAAATATAAAATATCACATGAAAAATATTTGATCAGAAACATTTAACGTAAAATTCTGGTGCGTAAAGGGCTGACCTTTAAGTATCTGGAAAATAGAAATAGTGTGAGATGAAAGAAGTGTTACTGTATGCTGTCAAGTTACTATTGCTCTGCATGTTATGGCACTGTGCTGGCATTCTGCTCTCTATTTTGATTTCCTCCAGAGTCTCAAGTCATAAAACAAGACTGTTGATTTTGTTTGCTTATTTGCAGGCCTCCAGACAGTGGGGATATTCCGAGTTGGAAGCTCAAAAAAGAGAGTGAGACAAGTAAGTGAAAAGTAAAGATTATATTTTGTTTCACATGACTTTCAGTTGAATTACCTTTTGCAAAGTTCAAGTTTATACAAATTCCATTTGATCTTTTTTTTTTTTTTTTTACCCTCCAAGTTATTATAATATAATTGAATTCCAGGAGGTAAAAGGCAACAACTCAGAAATGTTGTTACAGTTAGGATCAAACACTTGAAAGCAAAACGTCTGGATGTATCTGTGCCATGTGCAGCCAAACAAAACTAATTTATAAACATCTTATTGAAAATTGCAAAAGCAGGAAATTCAGAGTGACCAATCAATAAATGATAAAAAATTGCATGTAGCACCCATTTTTACTAAAATGTGATATGAAAAATGCCATTAACATTCCCTTCACATAAGATGCTATTTTTATAGCTTTACTTTATCAAAAATAAATAATTCTTATGAAGTTTCCATAGAACCATTGACCCCCAGTTTGCTTTTCACATAGGGACTGTGCTCCTTTGTTTCCTTCAGCCCTGTGCAACATTCCTGCAACTGAAGTTTGATATTAGACCTTCAACAATAGGTTCCTGTGATGAGGCAGGTATTTGTGTTCGTGATGGCTTCATAAAAGGCAAACCATCCTTTGGGAAAAGAGTTCATTTGTTGGTGAAGGAAAATTAAAGCATTATTTTCTTCCTGTTGTTTTCAATGGAAGGAAATAAGGAACTCAGCAACTCAAAAATGAATTCAAATGAAAACAAATTTTAGTTGGAAGAAGCTGAAGAAATGATATTTGTTCATATTATTGAAAGTAATTGAAATAAATACTTCATCTATCTTTTTTTGTCAAGACAAAAAAGGCTTTCAATGGAAATATGTTTTCTGATTGGTTGGTTGGTTTTTATTCTTAATAGTCACACAAGAAACAACATTAAATGGATCAACATTTAATGTTTCATAACAGAACTTGCAGGAAGATAGTATGGTAATATTTCATAGGCCTCTCACCTGTGCAGGATTGCAGAATATTTTTACAAATATTATCTCATTGAATCTGCCAACCGCTGTGACAGTAGCCTCTTTGACCCACTTCTGTCAAGGCTTAGAGAGATTAAGAAACATAATTCAAGATTACACAATTTAACCAGTCACCATTAACTTCATAGGCCAAGCTCTTTGCATGTTCCATTCTTTCTGCCTGCATGTATGGTCGGAAAAGAAGCATGGTGTGTTTGAATGACCACAAGTTGGAGGAGTGCCAGTGGAAGCCTTCTTTGTTTTGGCTGCCTGACACACGCTGATGGCGTGTTGTCTGGAATCAATGAGTAGTTCAGGACAGTGATGGGTATTCATTCTCATCAGGTGGACAGGTAGCGAGTGCCAGAAATTACTCATCAGTTATATCTGGATCCATTAAAGGGGAAACCTTTGCATGGAGTTGTATTTAAGGATTACCCAATAAAAATATAATCAGTGTTTACTTAGAAGTAGATTTCAAGTATGAAATATGCCCTAACTCACTCATCATTTTACTTTATTATATAACCCCTTATGCACCCTGCACTTTTTCCTTAGATCACTAACCACAATGTTAAGAGTGAATTATTTGTGGGATTACCTGCTTATCACCTTGTTTCTCTAGATGGACTTTGCCTCTTTATTCACTAGTGTATTTTGTGGGCTTGTAACAGGGTCTGACACAGGAAATGTGTAGTAATCTTTGTTGAATTAATGGATGGATGAAAGATTGAAAAACAAATAAACTCTTAGAGAAGTTTGTTGCATAGTGTAGGTTTATGAACTTACATAATTATTTCTACAGCAGAGAACAATGCATAAGAAAAGTTGAGATGCTACAGATAAAAGTAGGGTGTGGAGTTATTACTCTCTTGCCACTGTGTTTTCTTGCTGCTGTAAGTGATAATAGACCTAATATAATGATTAAGGCAGGAAATCCTTCTGGTAATTGTTAATAAGACTACTTTGACAAATCTAAGACAGCTTTTATTTAGTTATTGTCATCTTTTAAGTCTTAGTCATAAATCTCTTATCAGGGCTCTTAATTTCATTTGTGCAGGAAAAAAAATCTCTTTGCTTTCTTGCTGAGTGATTCAGTAAAATATCAACATTCAAACATGGCAGAATTGGTGACACACAGAAACGCTGTGTAATAGATTAATTCCTCCCTCCCACATTTATAGTTGACCTAAATTGTCTTCCACCTCTTAGGTGTTCCTCCTAACCTGGTTGTCATTACTAAGCCATTCTGCATACATCATTAACAATAAATCCACAGATAGTTTTATTTAGTGCTTAAATATATATACATATATACACATATATACACATATACACATATATATATATTCGTAACTGGACTGTGTAAACTCAGCAGATCAAGGTGAGGATGTTGTTTGCTTCTCCTTCTTGGGGTCTGTGCAGACTTAACTCCAGATACTACATGTCACAGCACTTCTTTTGCTGGGCACTACACATTGAGGTATGGTGTTACGTGACTGCCACTCGAACCGTTGTTTTTCCAGTTACGTGAGGAATTTGACCGTGGGATTGATGTCTCTCTGGAGGAGGAGCACAGTGTTCATGATGTGGCAGCCTTGCTCAAAGAGTTCCTGAGGGACATGCCGGACCCCCTTCTCACCAGGGAGCTGTACACAGCTTTCATCAACACTCTCTGTGCGTAATACAGTCATATGTGGGAAAGTGGCCCTGGAATACTAAGATGTCCAACTCATTCATCATAACTTTATGCATATCTTTCCTGATAATTTTTTGTCCTTATTTATCAATCTCTAAAGAGTGAGCTATTTGGGGGAATTTCTCAGATTTACCCTGGGAATAATTAGCAAGAAGAAAGTTGCAGTAAAACAAATGGAAATAACCAAGAAGAATTTGAGATACTTTCAAATGACCCAAGAAAAGTAGAAAGTGCTATGAGTTAGTGCTTAGAGTACCAACAAGAGTTCACATTGAGTCTGTGCCTAAAAATGAGCTTGTGTTTCTAGTGTGAAGAAGGAGGGAACTATGGGAACCCAGAGTGAGAAAGGAGGAAAGCAACATTCCAGGGGAAGCAAGATGTCATAGCCCAGGGCCAGGGTTTTCAACATAGCTGCTTCTGGGCTGTAGCTACAGATCCTATGAAGAAGAAAAAAAAGGAGGAGGTAGAGGAGAGATAGGCCAAACCTGGGTCAGCCTCCATACATTTCTTCCTCCAATGCTACAATTCCAATAGGATCACAACAGAGAGAGAATACATTGTCTTTGCTGTATCATGGTTATTGCCAACAAAATATCTGTCTCTTGTGAATTGCTCAACAGAAAAGAGCCTTAAATTCATTATAAACAAATTTCAGAATGTTCACCAATTTTCAGCCATTGTTAATAAATATTTACCAAAAATGGAAGACTGGAATCCTTAAACTAGGTGATGAGTAATGCCAGGGAAGGGGGGAGAAGAAAGTAAGGGAAATTGAGTTACCTTTTATTTTAACCTGGATTACAGTTATTTTTCTAGATATTACACTTCTCCAGGTCTAATTTGGCTTTATATATTTCATAGAATCTTGCTGGTAAATTGCTAAAGCAATGGGCAAATGAGTGAAGGCATGAAATGGGACTTGCCTTGATAATCCCTTTCTTAAGACAATTGAGAGGAGGCCTTTCCTCTGTGCCTGAATGGTATGGGCTCCCCTTTTATTTGAGTACCTCTTTTTGCCTTGCTTAGTATTGGAGCCAGAGGAACAGCTGGGCACCTTGCAGCTCCTCATATACCTTCTACCTCCCTGCAATTGTGACACCCTCCACCGCCTCCTACAGTTCCTCTCCATCGTTGCCAGGCATGCCGATGACAACATCAGCAAAGACGGGCAAGAGGTAAGACGCCTTTGCTTCCATAGACACTGTGACTCTTCCTCTCCCCTATTTTAAAAGGGCATACCACCAAAATGGCCAAACATTTTGCCTGGAGGTAATGACATCTCCCCTTCTCCAACCTAGCTGTCTCTGTAGGAAGAGACTAATGCAGGGCCTTCTCTGGAGGGACAGTTCCTAAGAGTGCATGGGCCATGAGTCTCCTTATAAGTTTCGAGTATACTTCCAAATGAGGCTGTCATTTTCCATGATGAGGCTTTACTCAAGACTGGACTTCCATTAGTAAAGAAGAAAAACAATGCACTACAGAAGTGCTTGCAACCATGTAAAAGTAGAATGATGGGGGTGGGAGGAGATTGTTATCCTTGTAATTGATTTACCTGCTGCTATAACTGGAAGCCCAAATATGATGTCACCTCTTTATTTTTCCAGTTTGTCCCGGGAGCTCCCATCTGTACTAAGAGCAAGAAGTCTAGTATCTCCCTTTTGAGGGATCCTTTCCTTTCTTAAACCTTCCCCCAAAAACAGGGACTTGCTCAATGCAAGGGACGGTCAGTTCTGCTTCCAAACCAGGTGTGGAGGAAACTAGGTCTCATCTGCTGACCATTGCCATTGTGTCTTGATGTCACATGGTATCAACTGCTCAAAGCAGGTTGTACATAGTCCCACAGACTCTTTAGAAATGTTCTTGTTGGATCTGATCCCCAGTCAGGCCCCAGTGTGCCCCCCCACCAAATCTAAGATCTTGGGTTCTGGTTCTCTTTGGTTACACTCATATTTCAAGATTTTTTTTTGTTGTTTCACCCTCGGAGAAATGAGATGCTGGCTTCAATTTTAAGTTGCTTACTAATAGCCAACCTATTTAATCTTCACCTTAACAAGAGACACCCCCTTCCCTCTTTGATACCACGCAGTTATACCTCTCCCTGACCTCGGATGCCTCAGGAGATTTTAGACTCTTTAATAAGCTAACATGCACTGTAAATTAACAAGGGGCCAGAGGCATTCCAAACTTACTTAACCACAGGAACTTTTTTGTAAATCCTTGTAAAACAAAGCTCAGCTGCACTGTGGCTTCAATTCTGTGTTTGTCAAATTTCTTTCCCAAAGAACGTGGTTATAACGAGAACACTTGGACACAGGAAGGGGAACATCACACACCGGGGCCTGTCGTGGGGTGGGGGGAGGGGAGAGGGATAACATTAGGAGATATACCTAATGTAAATGATGAGTTAATGGGTGCAGCACACCAACATGGCACATGTATACATATGTAACAAACCTGCACGTTGTGCACATGTACCCTAGAACTTAAAGTATAATAAAAAATAACTAACTAAATAAATAAATAACGTGGTTATATATAATTTTTTCACTCTAATCCAGAAAGGCAATTCTGCATTTCTTCTTGTCCCCCTCCTTATGGGTGTGAGAATGGAACTCTCCTGACTTAGCCATTTATCTCTATAGAAGTTATAATTAGTGAAGCCCCAGATGGCTTCAGGTTTCATAATATGGCACTGACACCTTATTTCAGCATACACAGCTCTTTGATGGGCATACTATAATTCTCATAATTGTTAAGTAGTTTTATTACTCATTTGGATGCCAGCCTTTATCAACTACAGTTATAACAGAAGCTGTAAGCATTATCTGCCTAATTGCTTGGGGAAAGCAGAGCTCTGTGTTTAAAGGTACTTCAGTCACTTCTCTGACATTTCTTAAGTACTATGTGAGAAGGAGAAAATTGGGTCTCAGGTAATTAAGAAGGCATTGAAGAAAGCAAAATGTCCAATTGAACTCATTATTGCCCTTTTAGAATCATTTTCAGACATTCTTTCCATTCAAATGCTGAACAAATCTCCCTTGCCTATGCCAAAAAGAAGAAAATATTCTTGGATAGGTGTAAATGAAACAGTATGCTGGAATATTAGCTACAATTTATGTCTCTCCTTCCATGAGCTGGCTTTGTGCTAGGGAATACACACACACACACACACACACACACACACACACACACACATACATACAAATCCTCTTAACAGGCAAGAGAGAGATCACTGTCTCCATGTTACAGAAGTGAAAACTTAGGGCCGGGGGGCTAAGTAACTTACGTAGCAACCCACAGAGAGCTTCCACTTAAGGTTGTACAAGTGGCATATTAGTGCATTTCACAACTCTAGGGGAGGTGCCATGGACTCCATAGTCACTGTAGATTTGCATAGTTATTAGGACCGTATCCCAGTGGATGATAGAAAAAGATCTTGAAGAAGGGCAATGTCATTATACTGGTTAATGGGTCTGGTTGGTCCCCTTACTAGCAAAGTCCAAGCTGTGTATAGAACCTGAGACAACTAAGAGAAAAGAAAAAGTCTTACTAGCAAAGTCCAAGCTGTGTATAGAACCTGAGCCAGTCTAACAGAATAGGAATTATAAGAAAAAAAACTGTACTGGGGTCTAGGTCAGGGTTTCTCAGCCTCTGCACAATTGATATTTGGAGCTAGGAATTCTTTGTCATGGGGCTGTCCTGTGCATTGTAGGATGTTTAGCAGCATCCCCGGCCTCTACCCAGTAGATGCCAGTAGTAGTACATATCCTCTCGCACCAAGTTGTGACAACCAAAAATATCTCCAAACATTTCCAAGTCTTCCCTCAGGGGAAGGGTTCAAAATCACCCCTGGTTGAGAGTGCTTGATAGCTCTTTAATTCACTGACCATGTGTTGTCGGGAAAATCTATTAACTTTCCTATACCTGGGTCTCCTCATCTGAACTTGAGGAATGAAAATTCTTCAACCAGACTTGAAGAGTGGTTGAGAGACCTAGTTTACTGTAAGGAATATGAAATTATCCTGGTGATGGTGAAGTTGTAGAAGGAAGCCAGGGTTTACAAGGGTTTCTAGACACTCTTGACCTAAACATTGCATCAAAATGAAAGACTAATAGCCAAAGATTAAAGCAGCAGGATAAATATAAGGAAAGCATTGCTTCTGTGAAATCGTTAGCAGTGACAGGAGAGCAGGCAGCTCTCACAGCCATTGTGAACTATAGTAAAGGCTACGGAGCAGTGAAGTACTGAGGGAGACAGTGGGAAATTGGGCCATGTTCATAAGTGCTGAATGCCTCTGTGCAGGGCAGGCGGTTGATTCTTTTAAGCTGTGAATCCTTGGAAGGATTCAACTAATGGGTGATATAATCCATGTTGTAGATTGGCTAGAGACAAGGGGAGAGTGAGTTAGGAGGCTTTTGTATCAATAGTAATATGGACAACAGTAATTCCTGTTATAAACGTTTCCATGTAAGAACGGCCTTGATGGGGGAGCCAGGCGCGGTGGCTCACACCTGTAATCCCAGCACTCTGGGAGGCCGAGGTGGGCGGATCACGAGGTCAGGAGATCGAGACCATCCTGGCTAACACGGTGAAACCCCCATCTCTACTAAAAAAAATAAAAAAAAAAATTAGCTGGGCGTGGTGGTGGGCGCCTCTAGTCCCAGCTACTCAGGAGGCTGAGGCAGGAGAATGGCGTGAACCCAGGAGGTGGAACTTGCAGTGAGCCGAGATCATGCCACTGCATTCCAGCCTGAGCAACAGAGCGAGACTCCATCTCAAAAATAAATAAATAAATATAAAAGAATGGCCTTGGGATTTGAACCATGCATGTCCTGAGCATCTACCCTAAGTTCCTTTAAACCAGTGACTATTGCTCAGAGATTTTCTAATGACTGGCCTCAGGATACAATGGCATCTAAGAGGTGGAGGAGGTGAGGACACAAGGTAAATATAGAATTAGGGAATGCACTGCAGAGTCATTGCAGACATTCAGAGAAGTGATGAGCATGGGCCAGAAAAGTTAGGAATGGCTTCAAGGAGGAGGTTGAATTTAAGATGCATATCAAAGGGTGCGTAGGGATTGAGTACATGGGCCACATAAGCACAGCATTGGGATGGGAGTTAGCCAAACCTCTTCTGTTAGAAGTCATGGGTAGAGGGAGAGGATCAAGAGAAGAGTTATTATTTTTTAGTCGATTTGGCATGAGCAGGTAGAGAATATTGAATGGGCAGACTGGAGTAAAGCTAAATATCAAACTGTAAAATATGGTCAAAACCCAACATTTTTCAACTTCTTCTCTTACCTATTTTTTAGTGTGTATCATCTATTTGTTAGGGTGTTGTTTGGGGGGATTGCAACATAGATGAAACCTGAAGCAGATTGTCAAGAAGCTTGAAAGCTCACACAGGTTCTGCCAGAACCTTTCTGCATAACTTGTCTTTATGAAAGAGAGGAAGAGGAAGGAAAACAGAGTTGGGATGGGGGATGGTCTTAGCTTCCTCATCTACAAAATGAACATAATATTTCCTCTTTGATATGTGCTTAAAATTCAATGCATCATTCACTGGTGAGGTCTTAAAGATGTCTAAAAGAAGGGCATGAGAAAAATTGTTGACCAGTCAATCAGTGCTTTTTTGGGAAAAAATAGCAGTATTTTATTGAATTGTGGTGTTTTGCTATCTTGTGTTTGTTTTGTTTTCTTCTATTTTGTTTAGTTTGCTATTTGCTTTGCTCCTTAGGGAAAAGAGAAATTCCCAAGTGTAAGAAACATTGCATTTCTTCAAGAAAGAATATAGCAGGAACAAAATTGAAACCTTCTGAGCAGTGGTTTTTCAGAGTTCAAGAACCCCCTGGCACTGCATGGAAAATGTGGTGTGAATATGCAGTTGTTTGGTGAGAGTCCATAGCTGGCATTGAGTTCTCAAAGGGTCTATGAGGCAAAAAAGAAGTTACAAATACCATTGTAGGGCCATGATTACTGATCTTTGAGGAGGTACATGCCTCTAGGAAATGGTAGATTGGCTTTGAAACTTAGCAAGACCTGTGTCTCCCCTCACCCTCATCCAGCCCTGTTTTAAAGCTCGTTTTCCCATTTCACCATGCCATGGCTGGGTCTGCCAAGCAACAGGAAACGGGAAGAGATGTAGCAATGGGATGAAGAGGGCAGGGCTGCCTAGAGTGGGGCCACCAGCTTTGCTTCTTGCTATACCATCTCCTGGCTCTGAGCTTTGGGCATCACTTCCCTTGTCTATAAAACAGGGACAACAGCAGCAGCTGCTTCTTAAGCTTATAGTGAGAAAGAATTGCAATGGCCAGTGGAAAGCCCCTAGCCTGGTACCTGTACATACTAGACTTTTAACAGATATGAGCTATTCATATGAAGTTTAGAAATAACCTAGGATGTTCATTTAGTGAAGATAAAAGTTTTCTTGAATTGCTAGCTAATTAAAAAATGAAGTAATGGCCTGGCTCGAGGGTACATTGTATTACCTAGATACAACCATATAGTATATATAAAAATATATGCTGAAACACATGGAGAAAAGGTGAATGTTGCCTGGGAGCAAGTCTCCTTTCCATGTTACAAAACAATAAAACACAATAAACCCCAAAAGTGTTAACAAACCCCAAGCAGCTTGGTCTGCAGCTGGAATCTGTGTGCAGTTTTACAGATGGGTTGTATTCCATTCCCAGAATAGCAACAGGAGAAGGAAAGAGCGGAAAGAGAGCTCTAGATTGTTCTTGTATGAAACATTCTTTTAAAAGAAAACAAAATCTTCCATTTGTTAATGTTTTTTTAAAAAATGAGAAAACCCTAATATGACTTTAAAGGGGTAAGGGGAAACACTCCAAATACTTCTGAGTTCTAAAGGGAGGAATCTGAAAATGACATGTATTTGATTTTCACCTTAACCATGAATTTTCAGGAAAAGAAATGAAAAATAAAATGAAAACTTATCAATGAAATACAAAACTTATCAATGAAATAAAGAAAAATGATTGAACGATCCTACATAAAGGGTACTTTCTTTCAAATTGTGTTTATCACATGAAATAATATGCCTTGGTGGCCAATCATTCACCTAAAAACAGCCTTGCCTTCTAAAAATAATACAACTCGTGCACCATGCTGGGATTGTAGGGCAGGGCAGCCACCAACTCGTGACTCCACAGGATGAGAGTGGGGCTCAGAGGGCTTTGTTTCAGCTGTTCATCAGGACTCCTGAATTCTATGCTGGGCACCCAGGTGCTTCTCAAAGGCTGTGTAGATCTTCCCAGGCAAAAGATCCCCACCAAGCAGACACAGTTCCCATACTGATCCTGACACTCAATTGATATTGGCAAGATAAATAAAAATTCATGCAGACCAGTGGTTCTCAACCAGGAGCAATTTTACCCCACAAGGGACATGCAACCATGTCTAGAGATAATTCTGGTTGTCACAACTGTAGGTTGAGGGTAGGGGTGGCTCCTGGCATCTAGTGGGCTGAGGCCAGGGGTGCTGTTCCACATCCTGTGATGCACAGGACAGCCCCCACAGCAAAGAATGATCTGGCCTTACATGTCACTAGTGCCAAGGTAGAGAAACCCTAGCCTAGAGAAACTTACTCAGACTCTCCCATTCACCTGAAAAAAGAGACAAGTAGAAAAAATTCCCAAACCTTTAAAAATGTTCATATTCCTTATTACAACAAGTCAACTTGTAGGAATTTACTCCTAAAAAGTGCTGACCCACGCTCACAAAATGTCTTTTCAAGGGTATTTTTTGTACCATTGCTTATAATAACAAAATTCAAGACGACATCAATGCCTATCAGTTGACTGTGGTTAAAACACATCATGGTTTATTCATGCAGTGGGATTCTAGGGGCCAATGAAGACTGAAGACAGGATATTTTCGTAGTGGAAAGATTATTGTAACACACTGTTAAGAGACAGTAAGCAAATTACAAAATAATATATGGATGTGATCTCAGTTTTAAAGAAGAAAATATCAGGTATACATGTATATATGTGCACAGGAAGGCATTGGAATGGCTGATTCTTGGCAGTGGTGAAATTATGGGCATTTTTTTTCCTTTTGCTTACCTGTACTTTCTAATTATTAATATATTGAATATGAGTAATTTTTTATACTTCAAGCTAAAACATAGTTCCCTTTCTTCACCCTGTACTCCCCTTTAGCTCCTCCTATATTTCTTCTTCCTCCTTCTCTGTGATATCTTTTGAAGAAAGTGTCTACATTCACTGTTTCCACTTCTGCAACTGTGGCTCATTCCTGCCACACCACTGACATGACTCTTAGCTGGGACATCAGAACCATCAGAGAGTCCATTCTGGAGGGAAGGGTCACATCTCGATGACCCTCTGCCACAGTTGATAACTCACTTGAAACACCCCTGTTATTTCTTCTTGGACAGAAGTTTCTTTTTTTCTAACTTCTCAACCATTCTTGGCCTCCTTCATCAGCTGCTCCTTAAGGGTGCTGGAGTCTCCAGGAACCCCTTGTCAGCCCTTCATGTTCCTCACTTAACTGTCCTTCCATTTTTTCATTTGTTTAAACACAAGATCCTTACCCTCTGCATTATCCTCCTCACCCTTCACCCCCTCCATAACTCTGGAAGCTGCTCTTCATCCCTACTTCTTCCTTCCTAGTTCAGATACTAGCTGCTGTGGCCTAGACTGTTGTGGTATGTCCCAGGTAGTCCTACTTTCTTGCATCCCCCATCCCCTGTTCCATAGATTGCTCTTCCTGAAATGCAGATTCCATTTCCATTCTACTCTGTTCAGAATCCTCTTGCCCTTAGATCACAATTTGAATTCCTTGGTCTGACACACGAAGATCATCTCACCTGGCCCTTGCCTGTCTTTCCTGCAGAACTCCCTACCACACTGAGCTTCCTGGGGCTCCATGACATATTTTAGATGTTTCTGTCTTTGCATGTGTGGTGCTTTCTCCATTGTAAAGTTACCCCCTACCCAAGATCCTTTGCTTTTCAGCCTGGCAAACTCTTCTTCTTTTGAGAGTTTGTGCAAATGCTTCTGCCTCTGTGGTAGTGACCCTGGGGCCTTCGGAGTTGAGAGCTTTATACTTTGTACTTATTACCTGTAATTGATAGGCTTATTTCCTCCCTAGAATGAGAGCCCTTTAAAATAAGGACTGTGTTGTAATCATGGTTGGAAAAGTTTTAAAATAATTAAAATATATGAAAAATGCCCAGCCTCTGATAGGTGCTGAGTGGATGGATCAGTGGTGAGATTATGGATTGATGGATGGAGAAATGAATAGATGGATGGATGGGTGTCAATATTTCTTAAGTGCAAACAGGATAGAAATTTTATATAGTACCCATTTTACAATAAACGACTTAGAGTTGCAAATTTTTACTCTATATGCTATTGAGATGATCATTGAACTATAAGGTTCAATCCAAGATATGAAAGCAAAAGGAAAATCATGGTGCCCTCCATGGATTCTAATAGAGATGATGGTATCCTTGAAGGATAAAAAAAAAAAAGGATAATAAAAGGTTTCCTTGATTACTGAATCACCCAGTATTTTGAAGGGCAAACATAACAACAGTCCTTGTGTTCTGTTCTCTCATAGGTCACTGGGAATAAAATGACATCTCTAAACTTAGCCACCATATTTGGACCCAACCTGCTGCACAAGCAGAAGTCATCAGACAAAGAATTCTCAGTCCAGAGTTCAGCCCGGGCTGAGGAGAGCACAGCCATCATCGCTGTGGTGCAAAAGATGATTGAAAATTATGAAGCCCTGTTCATGGTAGGTGGCCCTTCTGTGGCAAGACATCGTAGCAAACTGCCTATTGGTTGCCTCTGGAGGCAGGATGAAATTCTAATAGACCACCCTCTGGGGTGCAGTGCTGCTTACTGAATTCATTGGAAGTCAGGCAGTTTCAGCAGGAGTAGAAATTTGCACAACTATGATGTCATTTCGAGTTTGTGATTCCATGTTTAAACAAACATACCAAATTATAATTTTCATTTTGTTGTCCTCTAAACCATGGTCACATTTTGGAGTCATTTAATTATAAAGCAGTGTCCTTGCTCAAGATGTTAATAAAACCCTTCTTTATGGAATTCTGTGTCCCTCATGAATTCATGTATTCATAAGCATCCTCAGTGGTTTCACCTCCTCCAAGGTCAATCTTGACATTTTACCTCCTACACGAAGCTTCACCTGTCCTTCCTTTGTCATTCCCCTGCCACTTCTCTGTCTCCTGAACTCCATTACTGTCCTTACTGATGTTTATCTTACCCAACATTGTGTATAGTTGTTTATGACCATTTCCCCTAGTAGAGTATAAATGCATTTAAAACAAGGACTGCACCCTTGTTATCTCCTCTCCATATCCTCTGTACACTTTTGGAAAGCCCTCCATCTGGCAGGCACTCAATAAATATTTTTTTGATTTGTATTGAATTACCAGTTCCTGTTTTCCTTCATCAAACTGCATTGCTTGCTACAACTTCCCTTGAAACATTAAAACAAATGCCAACTCTCTTCTATTTCTGTTCACCACTAATATTGCATGTCAAAATTTACAGGAACCTTCTTCATGTTTTTTCTCCCATTTCTCTTGTCAATTTGCAAACGCTATAAAGTCTGCCTTTTCCACTAGAGCCTTTTGTGGCTCCTTCAACCAAGAATTCTAGTTACTTCTTTTAAATTTCTTTAGTAATTTGTCTACACTTATCAAGTGCTTTGCATTAGATTTATGTCCATGCTTGTCTTATACCAATTATTTTTTGTAAATTTGAGACCCAGTGGTTTAGAATATTTGCCCTCTGTGTCTTACCTACATGATTGTAACGAAGTAATTCAATACTCATTAAACATCAACTCTAGCTTTAGAAATGGGAAAAACAAAAAGATGATGTAATTCTCAGGGTGGTGACCAGAATCATTTGATATGTGAAAGTATTGTTAAAACTGTAGCAGTTTATGCAAGTGTTAATTAATAATTATATTAGTTGGGTAACACGTGCTGCTTCAAATCTCAGTACTTTAACACAGAAATAAATATCACCCTGACATAAAGTTTAATCAGGTGTTAGGTGGACAACCTTCCAGGTGGTGATTTAGGAATCCCAGCTCCTTGTATTTCGAGGCTCTGACATTTTTTAGGGTTTTACAGGCAACCCCAGAAAGGTCATCCATCTTGTCCACTCAAATTTCATTGGCCAGAACTTATGCACAAGCCACACTTAACTTCAAGGGAGGCTTGGAAATGCATCCTGGTTGGATGCCCAGGAGGAAGAGCAAATGAAAAGTTCACTAAGGTAGAAGGACATCTCCTGTTTGTGTCTTTGAAGCATTGCCCCTGGGTTGCATATGCTAAGCTCTCAAAAAATGTTGAATTAATAATTGATTCTATATAAAATTTACACTTCAGCCTAAATCCTCATAACTACATATTTGGATGAATCAAATATCGGAACTTTTCAACATTTTCATCAAGTTTAAGTCACATATCATCTTGCCAAGTAGTCTTGGCATTACTTCATGTTCTCTGGATTTTTTTTAACAAAATACTTCTCATCAAAGTTAATTCTATTATCTAAGTAAAATTCTCCTTTATATGAAACCACATATCATCGAGCATTTCTTTTCAACTCAGATACCAACAAAACTTTTCCTGGCTTCTTTGAAAATACAGCTGCTGCCATTTTAATTGTGTCATACCTTTTCTTTCCATTTCATGCCACCTGAATTACTAACAACAGTATAAAAACATCAGTATTCTACCTTTTCCAGCTTTTCCCAAATCTGATCTTTGTTTGCCATTCTCTGTAGGGATTGATGTCGACATTCTCTCATATTTTTGGTCTCCAGTTACAATCTTTACTTCTCATAGGGCCTTTCCTGGCCACCTTGTCTAAAATGCACCTCCACCCGCCATCGCACACATACACACACACACACATCATCACTCCCTATTTCCTTTCCCTGCTTTTTCCCCTTAGCACTCACCACTGTTAACACTGGGTTTTACAAATTTCTCGTTTTATGTTCCCTGCTCCCTAGGAATGTAAACTACATGACAGGATGATTTTTTGGGTCCATTTCTATCTGTAGTACTTTCTTTACTGCATTACCCCTGTGCCTGGGACATGGTAGGAACACAATAAATATTGGTTGAATTAATGAATGACTCAATGGTTGTTCTGTGACATATGATTTCCATATTACCGAGCCTTACTCCTTTTACGTATGAAAAGATTTGGGCATGGAGAAATTAAGGATACCTTTCTTGGAGTAAGTTAACCATTAATATAATCATTCTTGATCTCTATAGAAGGATTATAGTAATCATATATTCAGAAAAATAACAGTGCAGTGGGAGGAAGAGGGACACAAATATCTCAAGCCTTGGTCTATGAAAAGAAACTGACTCTGGAACCAGAAAATTTACTATCGTCCTGTCCCTGTTATATATTGGCCACATGACCTCATCTTCCTCTGTTTCTATTTCTTTAGTTATCAAATACTAGATTTGAATGAATAATAGCTAAGATCCCTTCTGGTTCTAAAATCTGCATGGTTCTATGCCCTAGCACTGACTTCCCTTCCTTCCTTTTTTAAAGCACAGAAGAAAATTAATCTCATCACATTTTGGATTCTCTTGGCATATTGGCAGTTCAGAAACTAGTTGGCTACACCAAGGCTGGTGGTTGGTCAGCAAAGCTGATCTGCATGGGTGGACAAAAATGTAATCGTGTATATAGCTATTTTGTTTTGTTTTGTTTGGCTTTTTAAAGAAGTTTTCAGAATTATTATAATTCCAAACAAAGAAGGATGAGCTAGTCAGGGCCTGATGGTTAAAAGTAGTTAGTTATTGTGCAGTTTCACAGTCCTTGGGTTTAGGAGCTTGGAAAGGGAGGTGTCACTTCTATTAGCATTAGAAAGGAAGACTTGTTAGGAAAGGTAGCTGTGAGCTTGTCCTGGAAGGCAGAACAGACCTGGAGGCAGTGATTCCATAAAGTAACTGGTGGAAGGGCTATAGAAGCTCACAGAGGCCTGGCAGGGACCCAAAATTTGTTCTGAGTGTTCTAACGTCCTTCATTTCCTGATGCTGAGACTGCCTCTTTCAAGTGGCCACTCTCTGAGTTAATGGAAAAGGGCAGAAAAGAACCTGGCTTCGTCCTGTAATACAGAAGAGGCACCTAGATGCAGAGGTTGACACACAATTTAAGAGTCTGGCTAGGACAGTCTTTTGCATTGGTTGTTTGCTTTTCAGGTACTGATTTGGAAATCCTTGAGCTGGAAATAGATCATAATAGCAGATATCATGACCACAGGTATCAAAATACGAAGGCAGTAGATTATAATGGTGGTTCTCAAACTTGAGTGTGCAGCAGAGTTGCAAGGAAACTTAGACATTCAGATTCCTAGGATGCACTCCAGAGAGTCAGATTGAGCAGCACTGGGATGGGGCCCAGAAATCTGCACTTTCTAGTGAAGATCTCCACAGAGTTCTGGTAGTTTCCTAACCACACCTTTGGAAACCATATCTTGGGAAACACTGGTATGGTAGAAAGACCATGTGCATTGGAATATGAGCTACCAAAATTCAAATCCCTGCTCAGCCACTTATTTGGTATGTAATCTTGGGCCCCCCCAGTTAATTTCCCTAGCCAAAAGATGAAACAACATGACCTAATTTACAGGATTGTTATAAGAATTAGAAATGACATTTTAAGGCACCTAGAACAGAATTAACATACACTAGGCATTAAAAAAAAGATTTCTGCTATTATTATTACATTAAGGTGATAAGGTGCCTGCTCTATCAAAGCATATTTGGGTGTTTTCTTGGAAATCAAGCCCACTCTGCCCACTGTGTATAACGCTGTGACCTGATCCCACACATACATACTCCTAGGCCCTTACTCTGCTCTTCTTTTTATTCCATAGCATTTATTACCTTTTAACCCACTATATAATTTACTTATTTTTATGCTTATTGAAACCTAATAAAATACAAACCTGATAAAGGCAGAGATTTTTTTTTAATTAAAGTTCTAGGGTACATGTGCATAACGTGCAGGTTTGTTACATATGTATACTTGTGCCATGTTGGTGTGCTGCACCCATCAACTCATCAGCACCCATCAACTCGTCATTTACATCAGGTGAGATTTTTGTTTGTTCTGTTCACTGACATTCACAACAGCTAGAAAGTACATAGCAGAAGATGGGTGCTCAGTAATTATTTGTTGAATAAATACTGCAATTCTGTATTATTAGAAAAAAAATGTATTTTTGATGTTTGGATTTTGTCCAGTGTCCATACTGCTTATATTCCCGTATCTTTAAGTCATGACCCTCCACTTCTGATATCAACACCTATTGAAAAACTGGCTAACATAAAATGATACTCTGTGGGAGCACTGGAAATCAAGGATAAGAATCATGAATATCTAGACAAAGTCATTGGTATTATCCTAACCAGAAAGTTCTCACTGACTAAATCATTGATACATGAATTGTTCTGAGAGTTGTTGCTTCTGTAACTAATATTGGGAATTCCAGAGAAAACTCATCATTGCTCTTGGGATTAGTAAGAACTTCAGAGCAAATGGAGAAAACTGTCAGCTTCTTCTAAGGGCTGATATTAAACAATTCTTACTAGGGCTCCTTCTTAGGAGAAGGGCAAGAAAGAGAAGACACCACCCTTGTAAGCTGATGAAAAGTCCGGAGTGCAGTAGAGACGTGGGAAAGCCAGTGTGTTCCCACCCCACTGAGTTGTCAGCCTGAAC